CGACAGCAATAAGCTAGCAGCAGGAACTTTTTTCAGGTTATTCATAGATCATTAGGGCCTATATGATGCTCATACTCTCGACTCAAAAGCGATGTGACACTTGGGAATGTTCCCTCGTTAGTCTTACTTGTGTTCAAAAATCATACAATATTTTCTTTCTACTTCTGCTACTGAGACAACGCATAAAATTTAAATAAAAATTTCTCTTTATTTTTGTTTTCAAGATTGTATATAATATTTGCCGAAATCAAACCATTCTTTCACATTGTTCACTGATATTGACCAAGTTTATGTATGCCAGCACTGTCGTTCTTACGATTTCTCCCTTTGATATTTATGGTGTTATTATCCATTCTATTCATCTGGATTTATCAATCATGTCCGCAGTCAAGTCCTTCCTTTATTAGTAATGATTGCCAAAAATCTCTCATTGAAAGTGATGCATTTATTTGCGAACAGAATTCCGTCTGGAATGAACGCAAACAAGTCTTTCATACTCAGGACAAAGAGAACATGATCACACGCCCGGATACATTCTATTTTTTGACGAACTGGGAACCAAATTTTCATTGTTCTCATGCACGACGTGTTGGCGCTAGGGGTGACGGTGGTAAATGGGTGTGTGATCCGTATCGATTGAAATCACGTCATGATTGTCTTATTTACAGTATCGGATCAAGTGGCGACTTTTCATTTGAAATCGAGATGAAAAAAATCATACCGCATTGTGAAATTCATGCATTTGATCAAAATTCATATGTATGCCCGATGAATACGTGTAAGTTTCATCAGGTTACATTTGGTGATGGGATTCAGCCAAATGGTTCGAAGAATTGGCCAACTGTTGTTGGAGCACTGAATCATACGAATCGATTGATTGATATATTAAAAATTGATATTGAAGGTGGTGAATATTCATTTTTTCCTCTTCTACTGAACTCCAGTAGGAGTTCACTGCCGCGACAAATTCTTATTGAAATTCATCCGATAAGTGTTAGTATTATTCATGACTTCTTCAATCGAATGCGCAACAATAATTATGTTATCTTTAGCAAAGAAAACAATCTTCTTGGTGGTCCATATTTTTTCGAATATGCTTTTCTAAAATTAAATTCACGTTTTTTCATTCAGTCTCATGATAACATGACACATAGATAAATTTGATAAAAATGGTTTTTCTTTTTGTACTGTGGAAATATATGAGAAAAAATGTAGAAAAGAAGAAACAGTGGAAATTACAATCATCCAATTTTCAATATTTTTCGAAATAAAGAAATGTCAGCCCATCTCGTACACTATATTCTGCGAATAGCTTTGTGCTAATGTAGTGTAAAACTCTTGCTTTAATCGTTCGCTGACGTGAGACTTTTCTTACTAATAGAGACCATTAAGATCTGTTATCAGCAAAAATTTGATTGATTTTCTTCCAGTTCAAGCTGAGTTATTTAGCAAATATCAACTGTTACTGAATTTGAAAATAATGAAAATTTTTAGCACAAACGAGAGTTTTGCTTTTTACTGTAAAACGAATCAAGTTAGAAATAAACTTTCTATATAAAAGTTTTTCAATTTTTAACAAGTATCACTGCATCGAATAACAAGCTAAACGTAGTATTCCTTACAGAAGTTCATCCTTTTCCAGAAAATCGTTGCTGGGTGGGATGTGGGTGTGAATGTGAGAGCCATATATGGTGTGGGTAAAGAGTAGATCTACCCTTACATTCACACCACATCTACATTCACACCTAATTCACACACCCACACTCTCCAAAATTCAATACTTGATTTGAATTCAGATAAAAGTTTAAAAAGTCAGTACGATTAAAGCAATTAGAAAATGCGACATATTATTATTGGTTTAGATTATTGATATATAGAATTGAGTTTATTCCGATAACATATTGAAATTGTCAAGAATTAATTGATTTGATTAATTAAATTATATTTTGGCTATTATATCAAAAAATAGTCGACAATACCTATTTAAAAACTAAGTCCCCTTGCCCTCCTCTAGTTTTAATTTTAATATATTTGTTCCCTTTACTTCTTATGATCCGTTTTCATTTCTTTTAAATTTTAATTTGTTTGTGTTGTTTATGCTTAGAAATATAATGCAGAATCCTTATGAGTGTGTTAATATTTTAACAAATAATACGAAACGCGTTTGCGAAATTAACTCCGCATTCTTTTAAATTATTTTAATCCAAGCACAATTATTTATTATTATTTTATTTTCTACTTACGAGGAAACTTCCCCAAGTGATCAATCGCTTTTTTAAAGTAACATACATGACTGTATGTAATTCACTGCGTTGATTCCGAATATGATGGTCTTAGTGATCCTTAGATTTTTCTAGATTCAGTGTCATTACTCTGATCCGAATTCTGAAAAGGGTGTTTCTCATCAAATTCAATCCTTTAATTAGTCAATCATGCACCACTAGACAAAATATTCATAAGAACACTTCTTTTATAGACATTTCAGCTTTAATTTTCAAATACTTAGCTATAAAGCAGCGAGGTAACTGTTATATTGACTACATACAGTTATCTGACATTTCTTTTTGCTTCATTATCATATATTCACAAATTAATCAAAAATACACTATATTATGAAAAGTATACAACAATAGAAGAAATAGAAAACACGTATACTAATTTCTCAAAATATACAACATTGGCACTGTAAGAATATACTTTCAAAACAGGCGGTAAATTGAGCGAAATTATGTAATGCAATACATAAGATAAAATTATTTCTGTATCATTTTATTACGTAAAAAAGAAAAAAATTTGAAAGAGTACTTCTGCATATTGGGTCTTTTTCTGTCTTATAGTTTATCATTGCATTTGAAATTTAAGGTTGTGGTGTCTATAAAAAAAAGTGTTCTTGTGAATTTTTTGTCTAGTGGTATATGGTTGACTGATTAAAAAATTAAATTTGATTAGAAACATCCTTATAAGAATTAGGATTGGACTAATGATACCGAATCTAGAAAAGTTTAAGGGCCGCTAAACCCTTACGTTCGGAATCAGCGCAGTGAATTACATACAGTCGTATATGTTTCTACAAAAAAAGCAATTGATCACTTGGGGTAGTTTCCTCGTTAGTCGATTGCCGAAAAGCAAAAGATGAGATCAGCAGATTGAACTTGTCTTTTCTTCAAAAGATAGGTTGCTCTATTTTGCGATTGATACACGTTAGAAAATATCGACAAACAGTGATTTCATATCAGGAGAAAGATGAAAATCGTATGTATACATACTTTCATATTTGATTACCTGCACATGTTTCGTTAATGTAAGAAGCCTGACGAAAGTGTACTTTTTTTCTCTTTTCACATATTAATTAAAGCTAACATTTGTTTTATTCGAGACAAGAAAAAACGTATAATGTACAGACTCTTCTGGCTGACTGCTTGTTATTTTTACTAAGGTGCGTGGAAGGCAATCTATGCACTAGTGATCACTGTTGTATAAGAGGGCGGTAAACGTATTTCTCTTCATACTATCTTTAGTTGTTGACACTCACTCGTTATTTTTTGAATCTAATCATCCTTGTGCATTATTTAAAGATATCTACAAATGTACTATTTGCAATTAGTCTACGCTATTTATATGATATCTGTTCATGCCAGTGCTTATTATCTCGATAAATAGCATGACTCTTATTTCTGTTGCACTTTTGTTCTTGCAAGTAGGCAAGGAGATCAGCAACTTACAAACGGCCAAGAACATGGAAGTTGTCTTCTATTCTTTCAAACATTTTCTACAATCTATCATCGTGATTCGAATCTTGTATTCTATTTTTTGCACTAATATATTATTTACAAAGATTTCACTGGACTGTTAGTTGAAACTGCAGTTCGTGTCGCAGAACCCATCCCAACATCGTCTCAAATATGTTTGCCTTAGACATGGTATTCTTTGCAAACATGTAATGGAACAAAATAAGGAAATTTCTTCCTCCTATGTAATGTAAGCAGAACTAGATACAGCAGTTCAGAGTTGCTACTTGCTCCAAAACAAAGTTCGATATATTTGCATTTCATACAACTCGATTAAACGATTTTTTCTGCTAATAATATGACGCAGATTAAGGAACAGTTCTAATTTGAGGTTAGCAATTGTAATAAAGTCTAAAACATATGGAAGAGTTTAGAGCTGGAGTGCTATTTCTGATGTTGTTTTGACTGAAGCATAAAAGAGATGGAACCTCTCTGGATTTTTGAAGGTCAACGCCGATACCAGTCTAAATAGGTCAGATTTGAATGAATCGGTCGGTCTACTAGCAACTGATCGTCCTAATATCTGCAACTGCACCGCTTCTGATGGTGATCGGTAAGAGTTCCTTTTCGGGACATTGCTATTTGTCATGGTCAAGTTTTAAAAGAGTTTCATCGTACATTCACCTTGAGTTACTACTGAGATCAATATTCGTTTTGAATAAGTTTATGTTATAAGAGTAGGAAAGTATTCACAACCAGTCTACCGCTTATTGATCGGTGTAAGACTAACGACCAGTCTACGGGCAGACCAGTCGATCTGATATTCGTACGGGTACTGGTTCTATCCGTGAAGCATGAATGCAACAGACAACAAGAATTCGTTTTCTCTTGTGCATTTATACAGACAGAGTAGCCTTCTGTCTGGTGTTTGTTTAGCTCACTCTCCTCACCTGATTAACACGGCAAACACTAATGCTCTGCATCTCTCTTCAACTGCTCAGACAACTAAGCGCGTTTCTAAAAGACCATGATTTAGGCGTGGAGGTCGCCAACTCAGCATAAAATTAATTTATTCACTCAGATGTTAAAAATCAAATATTTTCTTGGATTAGCAGTAACATTCTCATGCTGTCAACAGCTATTTTCTGGTTAAAACTTGCTTGTAAACAATAATAGGCATAATTGATGTCTAGAACTATGGCATAAAAAAGAGCTTCGCTTTAAATATACGCTCAGTGGCTACTATTTTCTTAATTTGTTATTAAGATGATAGGAAGACAATCTATCTTTCCATCCTTGCACTGGAAAAAAGTAAAATTCTCATCTTTACAATGCCTGAATAGACCTCGCACCCGAGACAGAAACTGAATCGAATCGAATCGAATCAAGATTTTTTTGAACGGATCCGAATGAAATCGAATCCAAATCGCAGTTTTCGTTTTTTTGGGTCTCTGACAGAGATGCTACATCACCATTAGTAGTAATAAGTATAAACTAATATTGTTATTAGTTATTACTAGTAATTAATAATCATTTTTCGAAGTAATGCAAGTAAACAAGGGAATCAAGTTATAGAGTAATAAAGTAATGTGTTATTACTCGTTACCAGTAATAAGTAGTAATCATCAAAAAAATAATAACGAAGCAATAAAGTAGTGTACAAATAAGATGATAGAAATATTTGTGATCATTGACTTGATTGTCGCTTCCACATTAAGGAATTATGACAACGTTAGATTTTGTTTTCTCGACATAGGTTAATCTCAATATTGATGCATTCATCATAGAAGAAACATAGTTTCGGGATTGTGTGGACCAAAATCGGTTGAAATAATACTTCATCAAAAGATGAAGCATTAATTTAGTGGTAGTTCTAGGTCTTGCTTATGTAAACCGAAAAGCCACTCCTCTCTTTCTTTGTTATTTTGTAAAAGCGTCATTATTAATCACCTTAAAACATATAAGTGCAGAATAGCATTACATTTTTCATATTTTGAAAAGATCAAAGTGTGTACTTTCAATCAAATCAATTAATAAAAAGGATTCCATGCACTAATGTAGCTGCTCTCTGTTGTCGAAGACAATTTTGTTAATAGAAAATTCTTATCCATTAGCAAAAATTATATGTTCCGCTGTTTTTTTAAATAGCTTGAGAATGTAACGACCTATCAACTTGTGGTTGTTGTCATTCGTGGGATAACTTCTGAGGATATAAGTCTACGTGAAAACCATTATTCCATCATTTCCTAAAGAAGTTGTATTTCTTCAGTTTTTTAGAAAATAGTTTGCCAGGTGGTGAAGCGTAAATGGATTTTTAACTCTAATATCATGGATAATAGGTGAATGTGTCCTTTATCGATCGGCACAGGCCCGAGATTACTACTTGTTATGGTGTGTGAGTGGAATCTTTTCTCATTGACCGACTCTTAT